AAACTGTCTGCAGACAAATGCTGGCTCCCTCAGCTAGGAAACGGAGATAAGCACCGCCCCCAAGAGTCAGACACGACTGGACTTTAATGTCATGGGGAAACCATTACCTTTAACTGTGTGGGATGCCTTGGAAAAGTGATCAGAAAGGTTAACTGGTTCAGGAACCTGTTAAAGGTTTTGGAAATTATTTGTGGGGCATAAAGTCTGGAAAATAATATATAAACATGTTGCACTGAATATTTTATTCATCATGTTAAATAAAATACTAATTTTTCAGAAAAAATACTGGGGAGAAATGGAAAAAAGAGAGCTTTGACTATTGGGTGGTATAAAAATGAAATAAATACACAGCTTCTGGTTTTTTTCTGGGTTTTCACATCTCTAGATGAGAAAGACTCCTGGCTGGAACCAAGAAGCTGCTGCTGCTGTGTTTACATAATACTGAGCTAAATATTCGAGTTGGTCTAATTCACAAGCAATATAGTCAAAGAAACAAAAAGTCTGTTTTCAAATGGAAAACTGGATTGATGGAATCCTGCATGGCTGCAGCTCCACTGCCAAAGACAAAAACCTGGATAATTGTGAAAAAATACAGTACATTCAATGCTGCTAAATTTTATTTTTTAAAATATTTATTCAATACTGTATTTTTATACTATATTTTGTCCTGATTTATGGTTTTCATTGTTACGAATTGCCCCTTGGAGTTTCTGTTATTCTGCAGCACAGAAATGTAATAAGTAACCATATAAGTTTTATCCAGTGTAAGTCCTAACTGAGTAGACTCAATTGAAATTTAAGCTAGCCTTATGTTTGATATGGCCTGTCATTGATTCAGTTTGTTGTGAATGTGCATTTTGTAAAAGGGCGGCATACTTGTACAGCTTCCATGTGGCAGTAAACCAATATTCTTGACCACAAGTGCAGGAGCAGTTCAGACTTCTTCAGTTGTGCGTAATGTGATCAGAAGTCTCAGAAGTATGGCAAAAATGACAAGTAATACGAAAAGTCTTTGTTTGGTCTATTTTAAGCTTTCAGATGGAAAATCGATGATCTTTTAATTCATGATATCTCTTTTTAAAAATTTCACAAGCTTCAGAAACAGGTGCTCTACAACAATTAGTGGAATCTGTACAAGACTTCCTGTCAAACAGGTGCCCAGATCAAGAATTAATTCCAGCACTTAACTTTCCATAAACGTCAAGCTATCACCATTACAAACAGAACGGCTATCATTTGTGCTGTATTTCTATGAATGAAATGGGTTTTATCTTTCCTAAGTTGTGTACAGATATCATTTCACTACTCACAAAACCTCATTCACTGGTGGAATTGTGACCATGACAGCTGGAGTGGACAGCAATATGATAAAGAGAAATATGAGTGGGAAATGGTATCGTATGAAGATTTTAGATGGCCAAAGGATAGCAACAGAGTAATCCTATCTATATGTATGTATGTCTCCTCAAAAGAAAGCCCATTAATGGTATTTAATTCATGGTATTTCATGGTATTTACAACCAGGTAAGTAAGTATATGATTTTAGTCCAAATTAGACAAAATAATACATGGTAAGTATGCAAGTACAAAACACACCTGCGCATTTTAACTAGCTCCAGCCATTAGTGAAATGCAATTAGAAGCTAAACATATATGTCTGTACAAATTCAATAACTAAGAATACTTTTGTAATATCTAATGTTATAGACAAGGTTTATTATAAACAAAAACATTCATTATGTAAAAGCTTTCGTGGTTGCAATAACAAATAAGTAAGAACATAAAAAGAACCATGCTGGGTTGGATCAAATGTCCATCCAGTCTAGCAATCCATTCACACACTGGGCAACCAGTTGCTTACAGGTTTCCACAAGTAGGACGTGAGTAAACCAGCATCCTTCCACCCATGCTCCCCAGCATACTGCCTCTGGTAGTGAAGTAGCACACAGCTATCAGGAGACATTGGTAGATTTATCCATGAATTTGTCAAATCCCCTTTCAAAACCATCCAAACTGTGGCCATCTCTACTTAGTACCTGTTGGATGGACCATAAAGAAAGATACTGGGATGGACATGGTGGTTTTGAAGGACGCAGAGGGGCATGGAGAGCAATGATCCATAGAGTGGCTAAGGGTCTGACTCAGCTGAATGGCTGATGATGACGACTACAAAGTAAACACAACTTGTTCAGTCATTACACTGAAATTGTTATTGCTATTATGTATCTCTATCCTGTCTTTCAAAAATGAACCTTTCAAAGAAACTAAGAAACAGTTCAAATATAAAATCTAAAAAGTGGTAACAATAATGCAATAAAGCAGTAGCAGAAATGAACAAGTCATTTATACAAAGGGATGGGGAAAGTAAGTGCAAATTGAATGTTTCTGGCAAAGATAATCCACAACAAGTCTGGGTGCCACTACAGACAGTGTCTAGACAGGGTCTAAATTGCTTTCATTCATGGAATGCATCCTTTCATGAGTGGAACTTTCTTTCTGTCCATGCGGTGAAATATTTGGCTCCAATGCCTTAAGAGCTCATATCAGTATCTCTGAAGAGGAAGCTCAAAGAAGAGAAGACCTAGTCCATAGCCTAGCCCTCAGCTACAAGTAGACAAGAGCCAGACAGCCTCCAATGGCTATTTTAGCACCACCATGTGCTCCCTACCATTGAAAGCCCAACTGCAATTAAAAAACAAGTGCACTTTATATCCTTTCATCACCTTTTTGCCTTCTCACCCCATCAAACTGTTCTGCCTCAGTTCCGCCAACAGTGCCACTACGATAAAGAACAGCTGCCAAAAAAGGCACTTTAGCCCCTCTCCTCTTTTTTTTTTCTCAAGCTTAGATGGCCCCCTTTCTTTTAGCTGCTCTGCCTTCCTGAGACTCTTCCAGTCTGCACTGTCATAGGGCTCGATGGTACAAAAGGACACTTTGTCATTCTCCTGAATCAAATAGGTGCCTGTAAAGGAAGTACATGATTTACTGAGAAGATGAGAGGGAAGTAGAGGCACAGAAGGGATGGAGGGAACAGAAAAGTACAGCCAGGGCTAAAACTAAGTGGAAATTTAAAAAGGAGAAAAACTAGAAATTAAGAAAACAATTTCATCACAAATAAAATAAAGTGGTGATCAAAAAGATGCAATGATATGGAAATTAAGAAAATAAAAGGGAAGTGAAACCAAAGAACAGATTTATAAAGACATTACATAAAAACGATCCCTTGAGTCTTAATGACATCCCTCTTTTTTTTTTTCTTTTTTCTTTTTGGATGTGAGGCTGTCAACTAATTGCCTGATACCAAGCTAGTTTCTCACTCTCATGTCCTAGATCGATTAGGTTTAAGTGGTCAACTCAAGCACTTTGAATTGTGCTTCAAAACAAATTGGGAACCAACCCAGGTCTTTAAGTAGAGATGCCTAGTTAATGGGCTTCAGCACAATCCTAAGGACTGGGAAGGAGATCAAGCCTTCCCCTGCCCTAACTCTAAAATGACCTGTTTTGGTTCTAATTGCTAGCAGAAACACCACCCATCTTATGTTTATGCCCACAGAGCTTTCTGTGCACATAAGCTGTGCCACTGGGGCAGATGTGCCCCTCATCTAGAACTGAAGCTCTTTCTGTTGTGAGGAGAAATAGCCATCACATTAACGTAGCCCTTTCTTTTCCTTCCACTCTTTTTCAAAGCTGTCCAAAGTGGATTAGTTGCTTTGCCACCTACTTCACAAAGTTTCTGGTCTGTGTTACTTTTCAGAGACAACCCAAGTAATGTGCTTTCCCATAATGCAATCTGACATTCAGCAAGGCATAGATAACTGAGATAAAATGGTTTTTTCCCGGAAGAAAACGAGTAATTCCCCATACTTAAAATGACTCTTAAAACAAAACTGAACAGAAACACAGAAAACATAAAATATAATTAACAACTCAACTTAACTCTGACCAGAACACCATGGGCATTTAGAGCTACTCCTAGCACTGCTACAGTAGTGGAGTTACTCATGGAGCACTAAAGAATACGTCTAAAGAATGAAAATGGCAGCTTCAGAGACAATTTTTTGTTGGGACTGTGCCTACAAGAGAGTTTTTTCTGTCCTCCCTAGCCCCATGTTCCCAAGAACACTGAGGTTCTTCTGTGGCTGTTTATATAACAAAATTGTGTGACCAACAATTTTCATGTTCAGTTTGACCAACAGAGTTTGTATGAAAGTATGACAGACTCCCCTTTTGCTCTCCCCAACCCGGTCAAAAAAGGTGATTTGATAGGAATCAATGGAAAGTTGAACATTTGAAATTATTTCCAGTGTTGATGCTGGAAAAGTAAGTTTTTCTTACACTTGCAGTGGATCCTGCTAATGCCAAAAAACAGCAGGGGTGAGCAACAGCACTAGATACTGCACCAAATGTTTTCATGTTTACAGTCTTGGATTTCAGCTGAATTATTGTATAAAACTTCTTCATGTGATTCACTGCTTGCTGCTCCTTTTCTCTTTAGAACTTGGTTTTAAAGTTTTCCTCAGTCAATGCACATAGTTAAAAATTATGGTGTTGCCATGATAGCTAAAGAAAATTTCAGCAGACCATCTAAATTAATAGTGAAATTTAGTTTCACTATAATCAAGGAAAGCCAATTGCATTACGCTACAAAAATGGCTCAACACAGAAAAGGATAACAGAAAAATATAACACACACACACCAAATTAAAATACACATTATTCTTCCTTCTTGTTCTTCCTAATTCCAAATATTATTAATTAATAGTACCTGTTTCTTAAATAACTGCCTTATAATGTAAGTGGCCATCAAACTCATGCCAATTTGAAACATGGTTACTATTTTGTTTCCACAGACTCTTGAGGGCAGCCATCATGTTGCTTCTAATTCATGAGTTAATTTTAAATTAAAAATGGTAGACCATACAGCATTATTTTCTTTTCCAGATACTATTCTCTAAAACTCCAACTCTGTGCAAAAATGGTGATACCACAACTTTATTTACCTTAGTCTTTTCACCAATAACATTCCTCTCCAGCTCTGCTATCTTCCTGTTTAAATGATCTAGTATTTCCTTCTCCTTAAGAAGCTCAGCTGTTTCAGATTTCTGCTCCCCATCCAGTAGGGCACATTCCATATCCATCTAAGAACACAAAACCATTCTCAATCTCCGTCCAGCTTGCAAAGACATCTTGACACATAGTTTTGGAAGACTCATTCATGCATGATGCAAATTAAAAAAACATTGCTGGCACAGTCACATTATTAACTTCTTTCAAGATACTTGAATGCATGTGGACAAACAGAAAATTACTAAAAATATTGAAAACTAAAATTACACTTAGTTGCCTTTCTTCGATCTGGTGCCTTTGAGGTCTTTTACAACAACATGCATTGGCCCCAGTTAATACAATTATTAATTGTAAGCCGCCCTGAAGCTTTGTTGCGATGGGGGCAGCATTAAAATGTTTTAAATAAATAAATAATTGGGGGAATTAAAGTTCTGGTCAGAAGCAACTGTAGGGAACTTGGTTGGGGAAGGCTAATCAAGACATTTGCAGCAGAGTTTGAAAAGTAACAAGGCTTTACAACATGTGTGCTATCAAATGATGAATAACAGTTTAAGAGAAACAGGGAGCTTCCTTTTCTTATGCTTTAGCTAGTAAACATTGTTCTGCAATACTCAGAAGAAAGGTTTTGCAGTTCATATTTGCAAAATACAAAGTATCAGATGTTGTAATTAGGACAGAAACTTCCTGTTATGCAACCTTTGTGAGGCTGCAGTCTTAAACACACTAGAGAATAAATCCAATGGATTTACTTCTGAATAAGCATGTGTAGAAGAGCAGTGTAAATATGCAAAGCAAAACTTGAGGGCCAAGTGTATTACATGGATTAAAGTAAGAATCCAAGCCGCAGTCCTGATGAAATTTTGCTTGTTTGTAGCTGCCATCTCTGCTCTGCTACCCCACTAGAGCCTTTGAGACCTCGGTGCCTCCAGTCTTCTGTCGAACACCACATCAGAGCTGCCGGTGCTAAGAGCCATGGTCAGCAGGTGCATCAGCTTCAGGGGTATAGCTAGCAGGCACCATCTTGGTATGCTTTCATATTCCTCCAAATGTGTTCATCTTTAGTGCCCAAATAAAAATTATATGCACCAGTCTTTCAGTACCTGATTTAAATCTCTCAAACATATACTCACCATCTTACAGCATTTAAAGCCAAACTTATAAAAATAAGACTATACCTCTCTGGAGGATTCATCCATCTGATCACTTAGATCTTTGATCTTTTGTTCAAGTTCTTCCATGTTATTCAGTATTATAATGCGCTGCTCTTCCATTTGAGTAAGTTCCAACGTTCTTTGTTCATCACTTATGCATTCTGGTGTCTGCAATAAATCAACATATTGTACTTTTAAAATTAAGTATTCTCCAATTGTGCATTTTACCTGTAATACATTTTTATCTAAAAAATTAAGCAAGCAAGAACATTTTGTTTGCAAGAACAATATTGATCATGCTTAATAAATGAGATTTCTTCTTTATTAATCTTGCTTTGTCATATTCTTCAAAAGTACTCCTCTTCCATATCTTTACTTATCAAACTATGAGCAGTAGCAAGTGCTGGTAATCTGCTAGAACTGAACACATTACACCAGAGGAAATAACTGATCCACTGGCTTGCCTCATTCCAAAAGTGCTGGTTTTGGCAAGTTTCTGGTAACATGAGCTTCCTTGTGCACTGGTCATTCTCACCAGCCCAGCAGTAGCACTGTATACTGTTCAGTATTGGCAGGTACAAAAAGAAGTGCTAAAACTGTTTTCTGGACAACTGAAGAATATCAAATTCAAACCTAGGAAAGAAAGAGATTCACAGCCCACTCTCCTGTGCACACTGCCTCAAAATCACACTTACTAGAGAGCTGCTCCATTACTTCTGAGCCTACGCCTATGCTCAATGGGACGTCATCCCTAACTGTTCAAGAAAGGGCATCCTAATTGCCTGATACTGGTGCTGCTGATGATGATGATCGCATGTTCATAAGTAACATACTTATAATCTTTTATTTCATTTCTATCCTGCCTCACACTGAAGCTCCCTTCCCAATAAGGGGCTGACTGGTCTTCAGAGATCAAATTACTTACAGAAGGTCACAAGGCCATTTGCCAGTATCACAGGTACAACAAGTCCTTAGTATCTATTATCAGTCCTTTGCTTTGTATTATTTAATCAAATGCCTTTCTCTTAGACCTAGGTTAAGCAATACAGTTTTGTAGCTGGAACTGAAGCATTTTGGAATGCAGAATCAATTTCATTCAAGTGATCGTTGCTGCAGCCACAATATAAGTTTCCTTCTACTGAAGTGCATTCCTTGCTAGCTCTAGTAATCCTAGCAGGAAACCCTCTTTTTCACAAGCATCCTGCATAGCTAATACTGACACTGCATCTTCCATTTCATGTTCCTAGTGGAAAATAAAAAACAGGATCTCTCACATATGGCAAGCAGAGTGAAAAGAATGAAAAGGATTCAAGACCATGATCCCTTGAATTCATAATATCATAAAACTGGAAGGAACCCCAAGCGACACCTTGTCCAGAGTAGACAGAAGGTAGATCAGAATCTACTGGTAGGTAAGCATGTGATTTGCAGAAATTATCAAGGATTTCTGATTCCAGATTATAAAGAGAAACAACCTTTCACCAAATTTGCCTATTAAAACAAAGAATGCAGGTGAAGGGACCAAAGGTGGATTTTTCTTTTATATACACAAGAGTTCTGAATTCTTTTGTATGCACAAAAGAGAAAGGGGACAACTGTGCACTTCTCTACATTGTGTTTTTATAAAAAGCTAAAAGAAATCAAATATGCATTAATGATTTTAAGTGAACTTTTTCACTTTTGTCCTTTGGCGAAAGCATTATCATAGAATGGGATTTCCAATCGGTTCTTCCTACAGGATATTGGGTCATTACCTTTGACATGATACTTAGATATGACGGTTCATTAATGCCCTTCAGGAATGAAGAAGGAGGTAAAGGTGAAGTTGTCCTGTGGTCACTGAAATGTTTATTTGTTCTGATCCCTCTAGGGGAAAAGAACCCCATGGCATTTTGACCAAGGTCACTGCATTCAGAAAAGTCAGAATCTCCAGCAGGTGGCTGCAAGTGGTTTCTGAATCTTGTTTCTGGAGTCATCTGAGAATCTTCAAATACAGAATCTTCATCAGACAATTGAAGCTTTTCAAGTTCTTTATTAATTTTTTGAACATCAGCTACTGTTGTAACAGTGGCAGGATCACTGTCAGGTTTGGAATATTCTGCACACAGGTTAAGAATGGTCTCCAGACGTTGGCGCTCCTAATATTATAAGATATAATGAAAAAATATAAAGATGAAGGATAGGATAATACATACATTATTATCACATTGTATGAAAAGTTCATGATTTGGTGCTAAATTCATTCACTGATCCTAAACCTATTTCATGGGCTACAGATACCAGTGATTTCAACTAAATTAACTTCTAAATAACCCAATATGTGTGTACCCTAAACATTTAAATATACAATATAAAAGCTATCTTTATTTATTTCAACTATTTGATCTGCCCATCAGCCTAGGATATCACATCCACAGGAGGTATAAAAAATCAGGATTATCTACAATATAATGCAATAAAACCACAAAAACTTCACAACAAAAACAAACTAAAACCTTAAAAACACCAATTAAGCTACATGAAACAGTGTAATATTCTAAAATGCCTGGGCAAATAAGTACATTTTAACCTGGCATCTAAATGATAGTAGAGTTGGCACCAGTCAAGCTTCAGTGTGGCAGTCATTCCAGACACAGAATGCCACCACAAGGAGGGCCTTGACCTAGTCCCCACAGAAAAAGTTTATGTGGCCAAATAAATAAATAAAAACCTATGGAAGAGATTCTTCTAAAGTTATCAAGACCTAGGCATGGGGGTACAGGGTCAGATATTCTTTTATACCTTTTGGGTGCCAAGCTACTTTATGGATTTAAAAGTAATCAGAAGCACCTTGAAGTGGGTGCAGAAGAAAATAGGCAGCCAATGCAATATTTAATAATCCATATAACAAGCTCTCATTTGGCTGCACTAATTCTGGTAGCTAGGTTCTATACGCCTGAAAGTATCTTCAAATGAAAACCCATGTACAGTGCATTATTCTAAACCAATTGGAAATTAGCAGGAAATGGATCATCACAGACAATCCTTCCCAAGGAAGCTTGTTAAAAGCACTCCATGCCACCAAGGGCACATGAACCTAAAGTATTTACCTGCTTTACCTGCTTTTTAGGAGAGTAACTGTATGAAGAACTGAGTATGAAACTAATTCCTACCCACAGTGCTTCCATTTGATCCGGCCATTTATTAGCCCACATCAATCCCACTACTAACAATAGGCAGTAGTACATGCCTAGATAGACTTGACTCAAATGACCTAAAGAAATAGAACTGCCATCAGTATTCGGAAGGGATTTCACATCACACCCACTCATAACTTCTCCCAGTGGTTCTATTCAAAAGTTAAACCTTATTAGACATCACAGGATAAGCAGTGGCTCCCAAAGGACCTGAATTTCAACTCCTACCACCCTCTCAAGTATCCTGTCTTCAGATGTGATATTAGAGACTGGTCTCTATAACCTTTGGGGCCCAAAGGTTCAGCTGACTTCTTCAAAGTGGCTGGTCCTACATTCTTTACAAAGAAATGCTAACCACCTTCTGACCAACTGGTCAATCTCCTTTAGCTGCTGTTAAGAGCCGGGATAGGCAAGGGGTTGGACATTTTAAGTACAATGTCCACATCCTTCAGCCTCAACAGCCAAAACTGATCTACAGAGCCAGGCTAGATGGTAGTGTGGACATTTCCACAGGGGCTTTATCAATAACAGTACCAAGTGCAAATTGTCTCTGCAGAGTTTGATTTTAGCAAGCCATTCACCACCTGAAAACTGTGCTGACAGCTCCTTGAAGGCCTCAATGGCAAAAGAGGGATAAGAGTGCCACCATCACTGTCACAAAGTAGACATGATAACATTCTCTTATTACTGTCCCATCACAGTAACTATGAGACTTGCATCTGTTCCACTTTGCCCTGTCTGTTGCATAGCCCATGTCGCTGCAGAAACCCACAGAGCTAACTGGGCTCTACACTGCAGTACAGGGACTTAGGAGCAATCATATTCATAGTGCCAGCCATGTGAACAGGAATAATACAATTTTCGTGAGGCAGACCATCTTAATGCACCCACCACTCCTGCAAACGGAATATTGACTAGTTTTAAATTCCTCAGATAACACAAGCATGTGTTTGGATTCTACATTTCTTTAGATTTGGAAGTTTTCTCTCCAATCCAGGCCTTCTGCTGCTTGGCAAGCCCACTCGTGTAATTGCACAGACACCACGAAGAAGAACCGTAGTGAACCTATGGTGTGGTATCATGCCATTCAATTCCAAACTGCTTACCACAGGGTGCCTTAGTTTTAAGGAACAAGTAACCCTACCAACACACGGCTTTTTCTAAATGTTGTTTGACCCACAATGTGTTGACCAGACCCAGTAAAACAATTTTATTATCAGTGGCAGGGATTAGCTAGCAAACCACTTGGCCTCAAAATGGGGAAAACCCTGTCACCCTTCATAATATTCCTGTGCTATGACTGGTGAAAGACCATTTTGATGCCCAAACAATTCTTTCAAATGACAATCCTTGGTTCATCTCTTTTATTTTAAAAAACATTTTGGGCCCAGTAAATTGTGAAATATATTTATCATTCATTATTTTAACTTTTAATTGTTATTTGTCCCTTGCAGATGTGGAAAAGACACTTACAGCTGCCTAATTTAAATGGTTTTGCCTTTGCCATAGCTTTGAAATAGGTAACAAAATGACAAGGGGAGACAGCGTATAGGCTAATTTGTGCACAACTTGCTGCTGACTGAAAAGTAAAAGAGAAAAAGCAGTGAAAGCAGGTGCACCAAAAGATGGCAACATCACACCCTTAACAGTGTAATCTTCTGGCTTTTAATTGTTGTGCTGACTGTTCTCAGTATCCTCTACCAGTCCGACCTGTCCCCATGGTTCTCATTCCTGCAGAAAAAAGGAGAGAATAACTCACTTACCTATTATCAGAGCATTTACGACTGAAGTTACTGCAGGTCCCTGACCATTCTTAAAAGAAAAAAGATTCTGAAGAGATAGCTGAATGGGACTGAGTGAACGATGGTCCCATGGGGTGTGGGGGGATGGAGACTAAGTACTGCTCATGCTGATGCCAGAGCTCTATTTGCTCCACCCAATTCTGCCAAAAACAAACCCCCCAAAAAACTGTTGGGCATATTTGCTAATTTTGTGGGAGTGGGAATTATAGAGGAATGTAATAGCTGGGAAGTAAATGAAGGGCAATGTGTGCATAAGCAGTAATGGGCAGTTACTGCAGATGTGCTCATTTCCTATCCAATTAGTTTCCAGCTATTACATTTTCGCCCATTTCCTATTCCAGAAATGCTTTGTATTGTTTTTTGAACTGTCAGGGACCCACAGTCACTGCAGCAGTGAATGTTCCAATAGCAGGCGGATAATCTCTTCCCTTTCTGGAGCAGCTGGAAACTTGGGGAAATGCTGAAAATGGGGATGGCTCCGAGATTCCAGTTCACAAAAACTAGGTGATTAGGCTGCCAAGAGGGTCATATTATCACCACGAACTTCTGTCACTTTCCCTCCTTTACTTTTCAACTGGCAGCTAGGAAATTGAACTGTGCCAACTGTTTGCTAATTCACCTACATAAAGTCTCATCTTGTCAGATTCCATGTATGTAATTTACTGTGCTGTGCTTCCTTTGAGGTAGAGGATGGACTTGCAATTATATGTGTATCAGGCAGCTTTAAGTGCAAACTTCTGTGCATCTGGGCAAAACCAATAATAACAATAACAGAACACAGCTGCATCATTTCCAGGGGAAGAAAAAGTATTTAAAAGATACTCCTACAAATAAAATTTTAAAAATCAGTAGTGAATGAAAATTGATTGACTGATTGATGGATTTCATTTTTATTCCACCCAATAGCCAAGGTTCTCTGGGCAGTTAACAAAAGTTAAAATTAAACAAAGGTTAAAAAGACACACACACACACACACACACACACACACACACACACACACAGAGGAAGTAACTATAGGACTCAGGTTGGGATGACGAGCTGGTGAGTGTGGTGAAGGACATTGAAATTCCAGCTGGAGGACCAAGGAGGAAGGAAGAGGACAACCCATGGTGAGCTCAATTGTCTGTCAGACACATCATGGAATGTTCCACATCTAAAACTGGAGAGCTTATTCACACAGTTAATTAGCATAGTGTGTGAATGCAGCTGATACTAGCCAAATGCTTTCACTAGTGCCTGAAAATATTAATACTGAGCACTGTATTAGTAATAGATTAACAGTGCACTTCTCATGTTCACTCAGCAATATGATCAACTTGTGTTCTATGGGACTAACTTCCAGGGAAGTGTGCACAGGATACAGCCAAGCAGAGCAATTCTACATGTTTTCTGAGATGTCCCAGTCTGTTCACCTGAGCTTCTACTGAAAAAAGTGGGCCTTACCTCTGCATTCACATGTATTACTTTGCTTTGTACATATATTTAAAAACTTTTAAACCATACATTTTCTGATGTATTATGTAAAAGACAACAGCTTTTAAATGAGTAATATTTAAGAAATTATCAACACCTACAGAAACAGTTATTTTAGTATGCATCTCAAATCTCATAATGAATGATTATAAACCTAAAATGAACTTTTTTTGAATGTTTGAATCCTAAGCACACTTGGGTCAATTCCATGGGTCTAAGGATACAATCTAAATGATTGCTGAATCATACCATTTGAGAAATCCTGATTAACATCTTACATCTGAATACTCTGAACTAGTGCAATAAAACTAATTGCAAAAACTTGGCAGTGTCACAATACCATGGGTTTGTGAAAGTTGGCATTAACACAAGGCTTTCAGGAACAAGACAAAGTCAGTTTTAAACGCATGGTTCTTCCGGATGCCTTTTAAACATGTTGTAATGCCCCATTTCCTTTGAATTTAGATGCAGTAACAATGGACACATGTACTGACAACTCAGTTTAAACTGCCTAATTTTCACAGAGCAACCAGCAGAGGTATTTAATTCCTATCCAACTCAAATTCAACAGTGAACTTAAACAAGAACAAAGAAGTTAGATTCATGTTTGCTTCAAATTAACTCTGTTCAAGGAGCTTGCAACATTTAATGGATTCAGATGTCAATCCCATTGCCTATATAACCTC